TGTATCTCTGCTTTACAGTATCAATAGAGTAGGCTATGTATTACTGTTTCATTACACAGTAGAGAAAGCTACGTTTTACTGTATTATTGTACAGGAGTGTATGCTATGTATTACGGCTTTACAGTATAATAGAGTAGGCTATGTATCTCTGCTTCACAGTATCAACAAAATATGCTATGTATTACTGTTTCATAACATAGTAGAGTAGGCTACGTTTTACTGTTTTATTGTATAGGAGTGTATGCTATATATCTCTGTTTTACAGTACAATAGAGTATCCTATGTATTACGACTTTACAGTACAATAGAGTAGGCTATGTATTACTGTTTTACAGTACACGGGAATAGGCTATATATTACTGTTTCACAGTAACAAAAGAGTAGGCTATGTATTACTGTTTTACAGTAACAATAGAGTATGCAATGTATTAATGTTTTACAGTAACAATAGAGTAGGCTATGTATTACTGTTTGACAGTAACAATAGAGTAGGCTATGTATTACTGTTTTACAGAACAATAGAGAAGCCTATGTATTACTGATGTACAGTACAATAAAGTAGGCTATGTATATCTGTTTTACGGTAATAATAGAGTAGGCTGTGTATTACTGTTTTACAGTACAACAGAGTAGGCTATGTATTACTGTTTCATAACACAGTAGAGTAGGCTACGTTTTACTGTTTTAAGGTACAGCAGTGTATGCTATGTATTACTGCTTTACTGTACAATAGAGTAGGCTATGTATCTCTGCTTTACAGTATCAACAGAGTATGCTATGTATTACTGTTTCATAACATACTAGAGTAGGCTACGTTTTACTGTTTTATTGTATAGGAGTGTATGCTATATATCTCTGTTTTACAGTACAATAGAGTATCCTATGTATTACGGCTTTACAGTACAATAGAGTAGGCTATGTATAAACATGCACAAAAGTTAAGCGCAACCATATTCATAGTCTCTTGATTTCACGTGTGGGAATCAGAAATACGAAATATGATGATGTATGACTGAATTAGGCTTCCATAGTTTCATGAACCCAAATTTGTCCAGATACCACAAGGAAAGCGTGTTTTACGTGTTGCTGCAGTTCCCCTACCCTATAAATAGTGAAATTCAAGTTTCAGACACGTGGTTGCATTTTGCTCCTGTGTGAGATTCCTCTTCCAATAGAGGTTGAAAATCAGCCATGGTGAGGAGAAAGTTAACGAACACTGAAAGATGGCAAGTGATAGGCATGAAAAATGCTGGCATGTCATGCAGGGCCATTGCAAGACAAATGGGTCGTCATGACAGTGTTATCACTCGTTTGATTGTCAAACATGGTCAAACCAATGATTTGAATGACAGGCATAGGTCTGGTAGGCCAAGAAAGACCTCTAACAGAGAGGATAGACGTCTTTTCAGGATAGTCAGACGAAATCCATTTGCCACTTCAACAGATTTAAGACTGCAGTGGATTACCCATCAGAGACTCTCGACGATGACCGTAAGGCGTCGCCTCAGAGCGGCTGGTTATAACGCCAGAAGACCAGTAAAACGTCCTCTGCTGATGCTGACTGAGAGGCACATGCGGAATCGTCTGATATGGTGTCGTGCCCGTAGTCGATGGAACTTGGCCAACTGGAGAAGGATCCATTGGTCTGACGAGTGTCGAATGCTGCTACGAACTGTGGGACATTCTTGGCCTGAAAATCAGACATCTTGATCCCCCAGTTCAAAATCTCGCTGGACTTGAAGCCGCACTTCATGAAGAATGGACCCGTTTGCCTCAGAGAAGTATTCAACGACTTGTAATGAGTATGAGGCGTAGGGTTGAAGCTGTGGTCAATGTCCGTGGATCATACACACATTACTGACGTTTCTGTCTTGCAATAGACTCTGCACTCCCTATGGTGTCTATGTGACACCTGATATGGTCTGCTGATATCATGACAGTTACATGACAAAAAAGGTTTTTCAATGTTTTCTAATCCTTTAATTTTTGGTCTTCGGTAAAATTCCTTTCTGCTCATATTCTTTTGGAACACAAGATAAACTTGCTTTGGGACAACTTTTGCATCACATGAGGTTTACATATACGGCTTACAACAATCGTACATCTCGTTATAATAGTCATCAGTAAGTGCCAAAACTAACAGCTCACAAATATGGTGGGTTGCGCTTACCTTTGTGCATGTGTATATTAATGTTTTACAGTAACAATAGAGTAGGCTATGTATAACTGTTTGAGAGAAACAAAAGAGTAGGTTGTGTATTACTATTTTACAGTAACAATAGAGTATGCTATGTATTACTGTTTTACAGTACACTAGAGTAGGCTATGTATTACTGTTTTACAGTAACAATAGAGTAGGCTATGTATTACTGTTTTACAGTAACAATAGAGTATGCTATGTATTAATGATTTACAGTATCAATAGAGTATGCTATTTATTACTGTTTGACAGTAACAACAGAGTAGGCTATGTATTACTGTTTGACAGTAACAACATAATAGGCTATGTATTACTGTTTTACAGTAACAATAGGCTATGCTATGTATTACTGTTTTACAGTAACAATGGAGTATGCTATGCATTACTGTTTTACAGTATCAACAGAGAATGCTATGTATGACTGATTTACAACACAACAGAATAGGCTATGTATTACTGTTTTACAGTACAATAAAATAGGTTATGAATTACTGTTTTACGGTAACAATAGAGTAGGCTATGTATTACTGTTTGGCAGTAACAATATAGTAGGCTATGTATTACTGTTTTACAGTAACAATAGAGAAAGCTATGTATAACTGTTTTACAGTAACAAGAGAGTATGCTATGTATTACTGTTTTATAGTAACAGTAGAGTAGGCTATGTATTAATGTTTTACAGTACACGAGAGTAGGCTATGCATTACTGTTTTACCGTAACAATAGAGTATGCTATATACTGTTTGACAGCAACAATAGGGTAGGCTATGTATTACTGTTTTACAGTACACGAGAGTAGGCTATGTATTACTGTTTTACAGCAACAATAGAGTAGACTATGTATTATTGTTTTACCACACAACATAAAAGGCTATGTATTACTGTTTTACAGTACAATAAATAGGCTACGTATTACTGTTTTACAACACAAGTGAATAGGCTATGTATTACTGTTTGACAGCAACAACAAAGCAGCTATGTTTTACTGTTTTACCGTACACTAGAGTAGGCAATGCATTACTGTTTTACAGTATCAATACGGTAGGCTATGTATTACTGTTTTACAATACACTAGTGTAGGGTATGTATTACTGTTTTACAGTACACTAGAGTAGGCTATGCATTAATGTTTTACAGTATTAATAGAGTATGCTATGTATTACTGTTATACGGTATCAAAAGAGTAGGCTATGCATTACTGTTTTACAGTAACATTAGAGTATGCTATGTATTACTGTTTTACAATACACTAGAGTAGGGTATGTATTACTGTTTTACAGTACACTAGAGCAGGCTATGCATTAATGTTTTACAGTATCAATAGAGTATGCTATGTATTACTGTTTTACAGTAGCAATAGAGCAGGCTATGTATTACTGTTTCATAACACAGTAGAGTAGGCTACGTTTTACTGTTTTATTGTACAGCAGTGTATGCTAAGTATTACTGTTTTACAGTACCCTAGAAAAGGCTATGCATTACTGTTTTGCAGTATCAATACGGTAGGCTATGTATTACTGTTTCACAGCAACAATAGAGTATGCTATGTATTACTGTTTTACAATGCACTAGAGTAGGGTATGTATTGCTGTTTTACAGTACACTAGAGTAGTCTATGCATCAATGTTTTACAGTATCAATAGAGTATCCTATGTATTACTGTTTTACGGTATCAATAGAGTAGGCTATGCATTACTGTTTTACAGTAACAATAGAGTATGCTATGTAGTACGGTTTTACAATACACTAGGGCAGGCTATCTATTACTGTTTTACAGTATCAATAGAGTAGGCTTTGCATTAATGATTTACAGTATCAATAGAGTATGCTTTGTATTACTGTTTTACAGTAATAATAGAGTAGACTATGTATTACTCTTTTACAGTACTGCTGTTTTCAGGGACAAAGAGACTAGGATTTGTATTACTCTTTTACAGTATACTAGATTAGGATGTGTATTTTCGTCAAAAGGCCACACTATTCAGTGACGGGCAAAGGGCTCTAATTAGTCTTCATTTTGAATGACCTGGTATGATAACAGGATTGTGGCAATTCGCAGTTTTTTCGTATTTATGACAGTAAAACTGGCATTATCTGACGTGAGTGTCCATGAAACAGGCTTACAGTTTTGAGTAATTACACGTGTATTTATTCCTACATTCCTGTAACTAAAGCGAACATTGTATGACAGCTACATTGAATATTGGGGAAATGTGTATGAAAAAAGTATAAGAAAAAGAAAATTTAAGTATGAAGCTAAATCTCAGGTAGCGGCAAACTGCACGTCTGTGTGAAAATAAACTCTTAGCGTAGAGTGTCGCCGACAACATCATAAGAGATGAGTGTAGATAATAGGAGAGGGTACGGCGAGTGACCGGTTTGCGGCCGGCTGGGACACGGTTGCAGGTAAGCTGAAAGCTAGCGGGAACATGTTAATTGCTTCTCTACACAGATCTATTTCAGAACAGAATGACGTTCTGTTGACGATGAAATCGACACTGGCGTGGCCGTGTGGAAGCTAAATAGACCACTGTTACTGGTGAATACAAACACTATTTTCTGCATGGGTGGATTTTCACCCGTGTTTACAATGAAGTAATTTCTCCCACCCTGGCTCAACTACTTAACTCGTATGGAACAAGCGCGTGTATAGGGAACAGGTTTTCCACGTCAAGATGACTGACAGCAACAATATTAGCGGCGTGACTGAAAGGCAGTAACGCTGTTATAGGAGTGCCCCTTTAATTTTCATTTATCATTCCCAACTCAAGCTGCTTGCAAAAGCCATTAAACGGTCGCGGCCAAGCGACATAATTGCTCCAATGTAAGCCATGAGCGCCTGGGCATTAGGCATGCATTCATTATTTTGTAGTTCCGGTGGCTGCATACTAGCATCATCTTTTAACACTTTAATTTCACTACACGGAGGATTCAAACAGGCAAGTAATGTGCCCTTCAATCACCACTCTATTTCGTGGAAACAGCATCAGTGTTCAAGAATACTTTCAGGCAACGGTAATTAAGTGGCTTCATTTTGTTACAACTGAACAAACGCATGTTACCAGTAAAACAATGTTTTGACGCGAACGTGACAGAAATAAAAACATTCTTGGAATCAGTAGAGAGAAAGTCCTGTCGGATTCTGTTGAGAACAGCCCTACCTCTATGCGAACTCCTCCAGCAGTACCTGACAGCGAAGTATCCTAAATTCTTGCTGTAATCGGCGGGCGAGTGAAGCATCAGAGACATGTAGCCGCGAGGGGCCGCATCCAGCTCGTGACAACATCATTTGATAGATGATGGATAAGGATGTTGGGTTTTCTATTAGCGATGTTGGTGGCTTATCTTGAATTAACGTGTACCACATCCAGTCCGAAACAGTGATATTTGGACGGCTGCAACTTTCTGGCATTTTCAAATACAAAGGATGTTATGGATAAAGTATTTTGCTGAGGAATTGGATGTTGATCTATATACAGCTAAGGTACACCAGGCTCGCTCCTCTATACCGGATTAATCGTTGTCATCCGTTGGGTAGAGAACGTGAATCACAGAGGATATTTCAAGGTGCGGTGGATTGCTTCCCATACGAGCGAGTAATTTACAGCAACAACAATTGATTTGTGAAGCTTCAAGTTTAGTATTGTAAATGCCTGTCACAGTAGTGTCAAGCAAATTGTGTTTTAATACATGGGTGACATGTGAGTAGGCATATTGACAGAAGTTTGTGAGGAGCCTACAGTTACCTGTTGCGTACTTGACTAAGTAACGCGGCGCATATCCGTCATGTCGACGACGAGTCTCTCTGGACACCATGTATTTGTGCTTTAAGAAGATACTTACTTCGGTATTTTTAGTGTTCATTCTCGTGCCAACACCACATGGATATTTTGGGTAAGTTAACGTTTCTATTTGTATCTGCATATGTCGGCATGGCGAGCAAAGGTCGCAGTCTGTGGACAACAAATTGACAACATATATCGCTTCCTCTAGATGTGTTTACACTGAAAATACTTTGGCAGATAAGGATATGATCCAAGATTTGTAAGCTGTTACTTGCGTAGTCTCAATGCGACGACGAACGTAATACGGTCCCCTGTACAGTCAGCAAGAACGAATGTACTACAGTATAAAAAAGTGTACCGTTGATTAGTGTATTTCATAGTTTTAATTAAGGAACTCACGTTGTGCTTGTTACACTTGCATTTGTAGTTACTCAAAGCTGTCGAGGTGATCACCATTAGACAGCATTGGTTTACAGATAGGCGTGGTTCTGTGCCCAATGTGTTGTAGCGGACAGACAAGTTTACAGACAAGTTTGCATTTAAAGTCTATTCTCACTACAGCAGCGTCTGGGAAGGAATATGCTGACGGTACAGTCACAATTACACTTCTTGAAAGCAGCATGGCTACTAGAGGCTGGTAACTATATACTTAAACAATAAAACCTCTCGTGATGACGTCTCCCAGCAGGACAGTAACCAACACCAATAATTGGAGAGCCGATATAAAAATATTACCCTCACGAAAACTGTAGTAGGAATTACCGTCGGAGCAATGTGGGATTTAGCAGTAAAGATTTGTTGATATTTTGGTAAAGATAAATTTGGGTCGAAATCAAAGAGGCATTTCAATAAAGATGACATCGCTAAAGCACTCAGGTTAAAAAAAACTTTCTTTAAAGAGCATTTGTCAAACACAAGTGAGCGAAATTGTACAAGACTGCAGTAAACTGATGAGATGATGTTACTCGTATTAATGTGAGACAATCTCACCACAGACTCGATATACATCTGCACAGGTCGATTAACATTCCGTTGCTTTTCTCCGAGTATTGATATATTTCATATCACGTGAGTGACGATTTATTTAATAACAAATATCATTATGATTCAATGATTATGCCAACAATATTTAAAACGTGAAAATAAGTCCCCATTACTCTTTTGCTTGTGGTAAGAGACGACTGAACTTGATCTAGTGATGAGGCTCGTTGTCTTGATTGACTGCGTGTGATTAAAACCAGTCGTTGACGATAGTAATTGTTTAAACCATTATGATGACATCACGCTATTGTTGTTGCAGTTGATTCTGAGCCAGGAGTTCACTGGCCATTCCGAACGTGCATTTTAACAAGTAACACTGACACAGCTATAGGTCATTACGCAAACATATAGAGAATGATTTCTCATGATTTCTCTATTACGTAAACCATTGATTTGTCGGATCCCAACTCGACTACAAATATATCCATGTCGCCGTTGTATGACTGGCATATTGCCGATTGCGATGGTCAACGCCTTTTAATACACATTTCAAAAGTAGAAATACGAACGAAGGAAAACTTAACAACATGATACTCACTTTGGGAACCTTTGTCGACACTGGAGTATTGACCTAGGGGGAAATAGGCCACTGAATTTCACTGCTTTTCGAAAAATGTATGTTTCGTTGACGCGCCAGTGCCCGAGAAACTGTTCGTAATGCTAGTCATATAGTCATGCTTTATGTCTCACATCATTGTCATGGTTGTGACACTTTGTGGTTGGCGGTTGTGGTAGACGGTTGTACTTTAGCGTCTACTGTATAAGAGGGGTATATTGATCAACTCATAGTGAGTGATTGTGTTCTAACATCTACTGTATAAGAGGTAAATTAGCCTGCTCACTGAAGGTGATTGTGTTTTAGCGTTTACTATATTAAATGGATATATTATCATGCTCACTGTGAGTGATTGCGTTTTAGCGTCTACTGTATTAGAAGAATATATTAGCTTGCTCACTGTGAGTGATTGTGTTTAAGTGTCTACTGTATTAGAAGAATGTATTAGCCTGCTCACTGTGTGTGGTTGTGTTTTAGCGTCTACTGTATTAGAGGGGTATATGAGCCTGCTCAAAAAAGGTAATCGTGTTTAAGCGTTTACTGAATTAGAAGAACATGTTAGTCTGGTCACTGTGAGTGATTGTGTTTTAGCGTCTACTGTATTAGAGGGGTATATTATCCTGGTCACTGTGAGTGATTGTGTTTTAGCGTCTACTGTATTAGAGGGATACATTAGCCTGGTCACTGTGTGTGATTGTGTTTTAGCGTCTACTGAATTAGAGGGGTACATTAGTCTGGTCACTGTGAGTGATTGTGTTTTAGCGTCTACTGTATTAGAGGGGTATATTAGCCTGGTCACTGTGAGTGATTGTGTTTTAGCGTCTACTGTATTAGAGGGATACATTAGCCTGGTCACTGTGTGTGATTGTGTTTTAGCGTCTACTGAATTAGAGGGATATATTAGCCTGCTCACTGTGAGTGATTGTGTTTTAGCGTCTACTGTATTAGAGGGGTATATTAGTCTGGTCACTGTGAGTGATTGTGTTTTAGCGTCTACTGTATTAGAGGGATATATTAGCCTGCTCTCTGTGAGTGATTGTGTTTTAGCGTCTATTGAATTAGAGGGGTATATTAGCCTGGTCACTGTGAGTGATTGTGTTTTAGCGTCTACTGTATTAGAGGGGTATATTAGTCTGGTCACTGTGAGTGATTGTGTTTTAGCGTCTACTGTATTAGAGGGATATATTAGCCTGGTCACTGTGAGTGATTGTGTTTTAGCGCCTACAGTATTAGAGGGATATATTAGCCTTGTCACTGTGAATGATTTTGTTTTAGCGTCTACTGTATTAGAAGGGTATATTAGCCTGGTCACTGTGAGTGATTGTGTTTTAGCGTCTACTGTATCAGAGGGATGTATTAGCCTGCTCGTTGTGAGTGATTGTGTTTTAGTGTCTACTTTATTAGAATGATATATTAGCCTGGTCACTGTGAGTGATTGTGTTTTAGCGTCTACTGTATTAGAGGGGTATATTAGTCTGGTCACTGTGAGTGATTTCGTTTTAGCGTCTAGTGTATTAGAGGGATACATTAGCCTGGCCACCGTGAGTGATTGTCTTTTAGCGTCTACTGAATTGGAGGGGTATAGTAGTCTGGTCACTGTGAGTGATTGTGTTTTAGCGTCTACTGTATTAGAGGGATACATTGGCCTGCTCACTGTGAGTGATTGTGTTTTTTAGCGTCTACTGAATTAGAGGGGTATATTAGCCTGGTCACTGTGAGTGATTGTGTTTTAGCGTCTACTGTATTAAAGGGATATATTAGCCTGGTCACTGTGAGTGATTTTGTTTTAGCGTCTACTGTATTAGAGGGGTATATTAGTCTGGTCACTGTGAGTGATTGTGTTTTAGCGTCTACTGTATTAGAGGGATATATTAGCCTGCTCTCTGTGAGTGATTGTGTTTTAGCGTCTATTGAATTAGAGGGGTATATTAGCCTGGTCACTGTGAGTGATTGTGTTTTAGCGTCTACTGTATTAGAGGGGTATATTAGTCTGGTCACTGTGAGTGATTGTGTTTTAGCGTCTACTGTATTAGAGGGATATATTAGCCTGGTCACTGTGAGTGATTGTGTTTTAGCGCCTACAGTATTAGAGGGATATATTGGCCTTGTCACTGTGAATGATTTTGTTTTAGCGTCTACTGTATTAGAAGGGTATATTAGCCTGGTCACTGTGAGTGATTGTGTTTTAGCGTCTACTGTATCAGAGGGATGTATTAGCCTGCTCGTTGTGAGTGATTGTGTTTTAGTGTCTACTTTATTAGAATGATATATTAGCCTGGTCACTGTGAGTGATTGTGTTTTAGCGTCTACTGTATTAGAGGGGTATATTAGTCTGGTCACTGTGAGTGATTTCGTTTTAGCGTCTACTGCATTAGAGGGGTACATTAGCCTGGTCACTGTGAGTGATTGTCTTTTAGCGTCTACTGTATTAGAGGGGTATATTAGTCTGGTCACTGTGAGTGATTGTTTTTTAGCGTCTACTGTATTAGAGGGATACATTAGCCTGGTCACTGTGAGTGATTGTCTTTTAGCGTCTACTGAATTGGAGGGGTATATTAGTCTGGTCACTGTGAGTGATTGTGTTTTAGCGTCTACTGAATTAGAGGGGTATATTAGTCTGGTCACTGTGAGTGATTGTGTTTTAGCGTCTACTGTATTAGAGGGATATATTAGTCTGCTCACTGTGAGTGATTTCGTTTTAGCGTCTACTGAATTGGAGGGATACATTAGCCTGGTCACTGTGAGTGATTGTCTTTTAGCGTCTACTGAATTGGAGGGGTATATTAGTCTGGTCACTGTGAGTGATTTCGTTTTAGGGTCTACTGTATTAGAAGGATATATTAGCTTGCTCACTGTGAGTGATTTCGTTTTAGCGTCTAGTGGATTAGAGGGATACATTAGCCTGGCCACCGTGAGTGATTGTCTTTTAGCGTCTACTGAATTGGAGGGGTATAGTAGTCTGGTCACTGTGAGTGATTGTGTTTTAGCGTCTACTGTATTAGAGGGATACACTGGCCTGCTCACTGTGAGTGATTGTGTTTTTTAGCGTCTACTGAATTAGAGGGGTATATTAGCCTGGTCACTGTGAGTGATTGTGTTTTAGCGTCTAGTGTATTAAAGGGATATATTAGCCTGGTCACTGTGAGTGATTTTGTTTTAGCGTCTACTGTATTGGAGGGGTATATTAGCCTGGTCACTGTGAGTGATTGTGTTTTAGCGTCTACTGTATTAGAGGGATACATTAGCCTGGTCACTGTGAGTGATTGTCTTTTAGCGTCTACTCAATTGGAGGGGTATATTAGTCTGGTCACTGTGAGTGATTGTCTTTTAGCGTCTACTCAATTGGAGGGGTATATTAGCCTGGTCACTGTGTGTGATTGTGTTTTAGTGTCTACTGTATTAGAGGGATATATTAGCCTGCTCACTGTGAGTGATTGTGTTTTAGCGTCTATTGAATTAGAGGGGTATAGTAGTCTGGTCACTGTGAGTGATTGTCTTTTAGCGTCTACTGT